TATATATATATATAATAAACTTCAGTGTCTGTCTGTGTGTCATGTAACTCCACCTAAACTGCTGGTCGCACCGACTTCTAAGTGGTACCAAACAAATCGCCGAGGTTTACACAAAGGTAAAACTTTTCAACCCATCCCTTAGGGAGCCCGTTTGTTTCGCGAAAAGACTCTTACGGGGATTCCTCGAATGTGAACTCCAAATTTGGCATTGATTGGCATTAGAGCACGCAAATAAGTAGTCCTACTAATTACCGTTTGTAACTTGGCCAAAGAAACTAAATTTGTATTATAGCGGCAATGATTTGTTAAAGGGAAGTTTAAGTCGACACATAAACTCAGAGTTGGTGGTTTTCACAATAACACAACTTTCATTTATGATGGTTCTCGGATATTTTTAATATTCGTATTGTTTGATAGATTGAAATAACGCGCAGGTAATTCTTGCAGCACGACATTATTATTATTTTTTGAGTAAAACTGAACCCACACTTGTTTGGAAAGCTATACACATCTTGGCCACTTGGTCACGTATACTTGTATAACATTCCATTTATTTGCATATACAAAACGGATTGATGTGACGTATCAGATGACGTAAGTGGAAAGATGTAATCATATCATAGTTACTTTCTGCGTGCATTCTCGCCTGGAAAGAACGTCGTTATTAAGATTATTTCTTTAACTTGTTGTTAAAAAATAAAACGTGTCATCAGGATCTTTAACACTAGCAGTCAAATGCAATGTGTGTGTTACTAAATTAAAAACTGTGTGGCGATTGACCTAGACAAAATATGACTGAAGAGGCTTGTAAAATGCAACAGACGTCGTAATGTGTCTCAAGTAGGATACGACTATGTTCAACTATTCCATGTAAAAAAAAATCAAAACATCATATGGCTGCAAACAACCAGTCGAAAAACAGCTTATCTCAATCGTGAACAGAAGGCATGTCCTCACTGATGCTTGAGGCGCAAAGTGTGGACGATGTGGTCTAATGAGATAGTTTCTGCCTTTTCTGTATTGTGGGAAGTGTAAAAATATGGAGAGAACTACGTGAACCTGCATGAAAGTTCTTGTCACTGAAGTGGTAATGATGTGGAACTATGATGGGTCCTTTGATTCTTCAAGAAAGACCAGAATGCGTCTGAACATTGTTAGAGATCATGTCCATGGTGAATTTCCATTTTGTTGAACTACAGCTGAATCCAGGCTATTATTGCAGTGAAAAGCGGAGCTCTTAGTAAAGTTAGCGTATACATTGTGTTCGATTTTCTGTGGTGGACAGAGCAAAGATAGCTCATTGTGTAGCTTTGCGCTAAAAGAAACAAACATTGTATTTTGTTGTCAAATCGTAAGCTTATGTTGCACAATTCAACCATACAATTAGTAATGGTTCCAAAAACCATTGGCATTTTAAATGCATCTTTCTGAACTATTTGTGTATCAAATTCTTTGTGAATTCATAACTTTGTTGGTCCCAGGGTCCCTAATAACATATGAATTATACACAAAAATGTAAACAAAAATACCAGCAGTATTGAAGTTAATCTCACTAGCTACTACTGAGGTTCTATATGTAATTTACATATAAAATGGGTGATTTAACCCAATGTTTTGATCAGTTCTTTACACTGTTGTTGAAATAAGTAAAAACCATAAAATTATTTAATACGATACAGTTTATGGATCCCAGCGGTAATTTGAGGATTAATAAATAGTAAGATAATAGCAAAACAAAACAACTAAAACTTGACAACTTTGTTAAGTATGTCGTGTTTTTTCGCGGTAAAACAGGACATCATATTGAAGAACCATCCATATTTGCTATTTTTTTATAATTTCTACCCTCTGAATTTCAATAAGAAACTAACTAAAAAAATTAAGACAGGTTTTTTAGGATTTAAAAAATGTTGCGATAGCTGAAATTCGGTTTCTGTTAAAAAGCACTCTTGAATTTTCAACGTAGCTTACGATGTTTAAAATGATTTTAAAGTTTAGGAACAACTATAAAGCACCACAGGAATTAGAATCAGATTATTTTATCAATTAGAAGTACTCAGTTAATGAATGGCAGTGTTAAGCACTCAAGTAATGAACGATATTAAGCACTCTGTTAATTAATGACACTGTTATGCACTTAATGAATGGTACTGTTAAGCATTCAGTTAATGACTGATATTGTTAAGCACTCAGCTAATCAATGGCACTGTTAAGCACTCAGTTAATGAATGCCATTGTTAAGCACTCAGTTAATGAATGCCATTGTTAAGCACTCAGTTAATGAATGACACTGTGACACAGTTAATGAATGACATTGTTACACACAGTTAATGAATGACATTGTTAAGCACTCAGCTAATGAATGACACTGTTATGCACTTAATGAATGGCACTGTTAAGCATTCAGTTAATGAATGAGATTGTTAAGCAATCAGTTAATGAATGGCACTGTTAAGCATTCAGTTAATGAATGAGATTGTTAA